CGTTACAATTGGAAGTACGGGTCCTGTCCTTTATGAATCTGGGAACATAATATAAACATCCCTCCAAAAAAAAGAATGTGTTCCCGTCTTCATAATGGAAATCCCTCTGTATGGGACTGTCTGGCCTATATCACTGCCACCCATAAAAAGACTTTTAAGGGCTTATGTATAAGGCAAAGAAATGTAAAACTGGAAGTAAAATCAATTAAATCTTTAGAGTATGTATGCAGCCCAGCATTCCACCCCCACCTTCCTTCCTCCATATGCTATCTGGGGCTAATGGGTTGTGTAATTCAAAACAACTCATTGCCTACTTGTTCTCTGGGGGATCCTCTGCTCTTTAAAAGATTCCAAATTCCCTGGTGTGATAGGATGACTTGTAACCATTTCTGCTTCTTTTCATGGAAAAGCAATCCTAGAAAGAATCTCTTTCTCTCTCATTCTCTTTAAAAAATTATGAAATTCACATTCCTTTTTGTGGAAATTCACAAGTCTCATGAAATTCACATTCCTTTTTGTGATCTAACTGCTTGTAAAAGCTTGCATTTTCTGAAGATCAGCCCTGGTGTCCTTGCTGAACCACATGCATGCTGTTCTGGCCCCAAGACCCTTCCAGGCTGGAGCAGAATTGCTAATCAGACTGAATAATTTCAACAGGGTGGCTGTAAGAATTTCCCACTTCACTGCCAGAAAGCCTAAGCACCCTATTTGGCCAGTGGTTGATTTTTGAATGTAAAAGAAGGGGTCTAGCTTCCCTTTGTCTTCACATTGTCTCCTTCTCATTTTTGGCTTGTTATTGCCAATGGGCAGGTTCATATCTCATGTTAGCCTACTCTGGCAACCAGCCATGGTGGGATGGTTGTTTCACGACATTTGTGTGCCCAACAGATGATCAGGGTCACATGAGTTGTTTTCCCTCTCCTTCCCTTGCGGTCCTCCTGCCAGTAGCCCAGGAGCCCAAGTTGTCCCCCCCCCCCCCCCTGCTCGTGAGTCTTTTTTTTTTTTGCTCATCCATCTTTTCCCTTGCCTTTCACAACCTCCTATTTGACAGCCAGCGACAGCCCCTGAAGTGCCCATGCAACGTATGGTAGAGAACATCCCTGATAGGGCGCCTTTTGGGGGTAGCTTTAGAAAAGTTGTAGTTGGAATTGTGCAGATGAAGCGGCACATGCCTTTTCATGCCTGATAAATGGAGCTTCCTGTGGTTGCCTGCTATCAGATATGTTTGTTTCCTGTAAAGGGGGTGGGATGCATGTTTGCACTTCCCTGAGCAGCAAGAGTCTTGAGAAAAAGTGCAAATTTTGCATCACCCTGAGGACCATCACATCACGATTATTGGGGGGGGGGTATAAATCTTGCCACCCACTTTTCACAAGGAAAGATCTCTTGCACCTTTGCTTTCTCTTGGCAACTCACCTTTTGACACCTGTTGGGGGAAATCAAAAGGAAAAAAATGGAGCCGCTCTGGGTAAAAGTCCAGGGTTTGCAGCTGTTGCGATTTGACATCGCTTAGGCAAGTTTTTCCTTTTTTGGATTCCTAGAAGTATGCACCTCTACACCAGTGTTGCAACAAAGCTCTGTGGAATCCATCCCTCTAGCATTCATAGGCTTGTTCTCATGCCTGGTTCTGTCTTAGAGGGCAAACTGGGCCAAGAAGTCCTCAAATGCTCACAAAATGAAGGTTGCACAACTGCCAACCTTCTTCCATATCATTCACAGCACAACAGGTGCTCCACATGATGTGGAAGAGGAATGCCACTTGCAAAGGGTTCCTGCGGGTTCAATTCCCAGCAAGCGCTGTGCCAATGCTGGGCATGCTTGCTGGGAACTTGGGCTTGTGGCGGTGTCAGTGGACTGCAATTGGGGGAGTGGAGCCCAGGGAATCTGATGGATCCCCACCCCCAACCTGGATTCCTCACTCCACCCTTTCTCTGGTCCACTATACAAGCAATTTTTAAAAGCCGATGAAAAGATTTGTGTACATATAGGGTGCAATTTTTATTTTTTAAACAGGGTGACCAACCAGTAACAGCCCCTCCAATAGGTATCTTTTAAAGTATCATTTCCAAATACACTGTGGTTCTTCTAAGCCTTTCTTCCTTTTGTAAATACACACAACAGTGACCTCAAGTGTTGCATACCTTCTTCCAAGTATCTCTTGGTACTAAATCCTGAACCTTTTGCTTAATTACCGCTAGTGTTTAACTTTCCAGGTCTAGGACTCAGAAAGATTTGGTCTAGTCATATAGAGGCTGAGGCTGAGGTGGACCTAAGGGGTGGTGAAAACCTAATCTGAGCAATCTTTTGTCCTGCTTACTCTGCTGGGAGCTTGGGCAATCCCCTTCCTTTCTACATTGTCTGGTTCAGGGTAAAGAAAGGGAAATGCACATGCCTATAATACCAGGCTGACTTATCCCGGCCAGAAGGCAGGAAATGGGTCCAAGCAAGCAGCCCCACACTTACCCTGTTACCTCCTCCATGAAGATTCCCAGTTTGTTGCATAGAATGTCCTCTATGATTTATAGCACCCTGATCCGTGATAGGTCTACTGCAGAAAGGAGTTCAGCCTTAGCAGTTCGTACTGCGCGTTGCACTGCGACTGCTTGCTGAGGACATCGCATACAAAGTTGGTCCTGACATTGTTCTGGCATGCTCTTCTATCGGTCTAGAGAGGTGTGATGATGTGACTTGCTGCTTTTTATATTTCAGCAGATACCTGGGTATCTGAACTCTTATACAGAACATGAATAAGACTAGTTCTGTTCCAACATATTCTGCAAATATCAGAGATTACATTAGAGCTTGGTTTCTGAGCAACCATAACATTTGGGATCATTTGATGTGAAGTTTCAACTTAATATGCATGTCAAGCATAGATCCTCCCTTTACTGCTCATTTGATGGTTTTCCATAATCATTGTCCATTCATCTCAACAGCATTCAGCATAAATTATAGTTTCCTTTGAAAAGCAGCTTAACGTTTGCTGGGATGCTTTTTTAAGAAAAGCAAACAATAATTTTGTTGTTGCTTTAAATGCCCCAGTTCTCTAAGAAACTGTGTTTCATTATACTATTACTCTCCCAGCCCCTGCCCTCTGTGGGGATAGACTTGTACTCTGCCCTGCATAAATGGAAACATGGAGGAGGCTGACACTGAAGTCTGGGAGCACCCAAGTGCAGCACAGCCCTCTTCCAAGTCCTTTGTTGCGCTTGGGCACATACCCCTGTTTTGGGCTAACCATTAGCAATGGAAAGCTGGAAAACCATCATACTGCTGGACTTGGGAAGCAGGTCCTTCTGAACTGCCCCTCAGTTACTACCAGATGAGTCCAGCTCACCTCTGGGACAAGTATAAGCAGTAGAAGGTTGAAGAAGTAATTTTGTACAGCCTAGGGGGGCACCCTCTTCCTTCTACTGTCCTCCTGGGCCAAGAAGAGGCAGGGAAGGCATCATCTGCCCTTGGAGGAAAGCTCTTTCAGTGACTGCCCGATATTGCATCTGGTCTGAGAGGGTTCCCTATAGGCAGCTGGTTTGCTACTCTGGGAATAAAAAGGTAGACTAAGTATGGTTGGTTTTATATTCTTACTCGGACACAATGACTGGATCCCTGTAGTATTCAATGCAGAGAAATCAAATGCCCTCCTCTAAACCCATTTAAATTGGTGGCCATCACCATATCTTGTGGCAGGCATGACCATGGGCTGTGTGGAGAAGTGCTTCCTTTTATCTATCCTGATCCTCTTACCAAGTCTGGCCCCATCAAGAAGGAGTCCATCATATTAACCATTCTCTTGTTCCTTTGCCACGGCTTGCACTCCATTTGACATGTCCAATCATTGAAAAAGCAAAAGAGAAATAGATGGCAACCCGTGTGACTTGCACATGTCAAGAGGATATTAGTATCTTCTGAAGAGAGACTGGATTCAGATTTAGGCTGAATCAGCTGCACTGGCAGAAGTGGCTTTCCCTGCCTTCTCCTCACTGCAGCCCCTCCAACCCCACACAGACTTGGGAGATGTGCCTAATGAGATAAACTGTGGTGTGGGGCACATGGGTGATTTCCCCCAAATTAGCAGATGAACTATTCATGGATGGAGCCCTTCAGTCTGAAGGCCATCAACCTGATGTGAGCAGGGTGGATTATTTCACTGTGATTCCAAAACTCACAGAGGGGGAAAGGGAGCTGAAGTTTCGTCTCTCAACCAGCCTGCCTACTCTTGCCTAGCCAGCACGGCTGATCAGCAGTCAGGAACCTCTTTCAGTGAAAGGACAAAATTTCACTTTGAAGATGTTCTTAGGAGCTACATTCCCCTGGAAGGTGGGGCTGAAAGGGTGGCTCCAAGCATACCAGTCTGTTTTGGCTTACAATATATCACTGCTACTAACTAAGCCTTATGAGAAGCATTTCAACCTTTCAGAATGGGGGAAAAACAGCACAAGGACTAGGAAAGCACCAAAAAACAGGTGGCTGGAGGAGAATTTTGGGGTGGGGGAAAGGGTGCATAGAGGGCCCAACTGGGACCCAGAAGGGTCAGAGGTTCCTAATCCCTGAAATACAGATAGCTGCAGCTCCACTGGGCATAAGTCTTCAGAAAGAAAAAGCCCTAATGAGAAATGTATCCCAGCCATGGTCCCCAGAATTAATGTAATAAAACCCTTGTTGGGCCTATCAGACTTCTTCTCAAAAGCAGTCTCAAACTCGGTGGACACAAATACTGTAAGAGAACTTGAGTACACAAATACTGTAAACTGTAAGAGGCTGGAGAGCCGTTCGCAGAACAAACCCCTTGGCTTGCTAAGAACTACTTCATTCAGCAGCTACTGGTGTGATTTCAATGATGAGAGATATTGGGGGACGTGGGCAGCTGTAGAAGTCCGTGTTTGCTCCATCAACTATTCCCTAAAGTGCTACTCTCAAACTTCACTGTATTTAGAGGAGAGAAACCGTGGCAAGCCATCTAACACCTTGTTACTGGCAACTGCAATACAGACCTGTGTTCTCAGTTCGCTTCATGCAGTTTATAAAAGTACTCTGGTACAATTTATCCAGCTCTGTGTCATCAAATCCAAGGTTTTCATCCCATTTGGATCCAGTGGATTTCTCTTAGTCTGCTTGGCAAACTAGCTGGCACAGACTGAAAAGGATTCTCTTGTACTCCTTTCTGAAATTTTGATTCAGTGCTCCATAAACCACAGCATTCAAGCAGCTGTTAAAGTAGGCCATGAAGTAGCTGGTGGTAAAAAGCCATTCTGGGATGTCCAACGTTGGTTTCAGGGCCACCATGAAGCCAATGAAGTTTAGTGGTGCCCAACAGATAGCAAACAGTACAAATACCATAAACATGGTCAGGAAGTTCCAGAAGTCATGGGGCTTTATTTTGGGTTGGATGTCTGGCTTGACTCGCCGCCGGACCTGGAACACCAGTATCCAGATCCTCAGGTAACAGTAGCTGACAATGGTGATGGGCAGGAAGAAATGGACCACCACCACGACGATAGTGTAAAAGGGACTGACAGATTGGGCAAAAGTGCAAGAATACACCCGCGGATCGTACTTCAGGGAGTCCACAAAGAAGTTTGGCATGATTGACAGCAAGGTAAGGGCCCAAACGAGCCCCACATAATAAAGAGTGTTCTGGAGAGAGAAAAGCCTGTCATACTTTAGGCTGTGGCAAATGTAGCAGTAGCGGTTAATGGCGATGCCCGCAATGTTGAAGATGGAGCTCATGACGCTCATGCCCATTAGAAAGCCACTGACCTGGCAGTGGAGGTAGCCCATGGCCCACTCGCCATGGTAAATGGCTATCAGGGCGAGCGGGTAGGGGTATAAAGCCGCCAACAAGTCTGCAACCGCCAGGCTGACCACAAAGGCATTCCCTGGAATTTAAAAGTTAAACAATTACAGGCACAGGAACCATAATGCCTAATACCAGCAAGTAATACTTTGCGCACCCCCATCCTACTGGTGCTAGCATTCCATACAGCTCTATTTCTCACCTATGTCTCAAGCAACATATAAATGTTTCCAATCTCTAGGAGACCACCACCCTGCTGTCTCTGGGCACTTGCAAAAATAAAGGTGCAGGAGCCCTGACAATCTCTGTTGCATCCAACTATTCCTGGATTAGCGACTTCCTGTCCACACGTGCTCCACCTCTTGCTGCCCTCCCCTGAATTGTCCTGCCTGAAGATTGTTCTCCTGGAATAAATGCTTTCCACCAGTCATGGGCCCTTTTTGAATGTCCATATATCCCTTTGCACAATAGAACTGCCTTGAGGAGACAGGGTCCTTTACAGAGCACATACATATCAGCAAATGCAAATTTATGCATGTTTTTCTTTACCCGAGGGCCTGGGCCCCAGATATTTTTGGCATATAGCACCAGCCCCACTTCCCCTGTTCTTTCTTTACTAGAATCCCCAAGGCCCACCCATCACTCCAACTTGTGCGTTTCTATTCAAGTGTCCATACACAGAGCCAAGCAGGTAAGTCTTCAAGTCAGCGAGATCTAGTTCCTTTTGATTAGAACCCTGTGAACCCACCAAAAGAATCACAGTTTGAAATTTTAAAAAATTCTGAGGCCAGGAATGTTTTGCTGAGTACTCACAGCCCTTTCACACAGAAATCCCATTCCTGATTACTCCAAACTGTTTTCAAATGGGGGTCAGTAATCCTTGCACTCAGAGATATGCACTCAGGAAAGGGCAGGAGGGGAGTCTGACTTCCTGCACATCCATAATGGCACTGCCTCTGCACGGGAGGGGCGATGGAGGGGGCCTCGAACGTCCACAGGGGACTGCATGTGCGAGTTGCCTGTCCCTGTTGCTGCGGTGCCTCCAGAGAAAACAGCCAGTCTTGATGCACCTGGAGTGACTGGGTGGTGGGCGCATGGGAAGGCAACCAGGCCTTCGCAGTGAGAACGGTTCCATGCGAAACTGTGCTAGGATTATTATTTTCGAGAAAGTTGGTGGGTGGCGGTGGGGAACGGTTTTACATAACATGGAGTTAACTTACGGAATTCATTGCTAATAGTGTGGGAGTCTGAAAGACAGTATTATAGTGAAGGATTTTTTAAATGACTTTAGAAACATTTGGAAGCAAGGTGACATCAATGACTGTTAGCCAAGGTAACTGGACATACCATGTTCTTTGAAAGGGGTCACCAAACTCCTTATTGTCCCACTGTGGAAGCAAAGTCCAAATGAGGGGCTAATGTAGCACCATCTGATCTCTTGAACTCTGTCACTCCTCCTGGAGATGCAACTATATGGACTATATGGGCCTATTTCCCTGACCAAATATGGCCATTCTCTCCTCTCTTCCCTTCTGTTTCACATGGTTTTCAGCAGGGCACATAAAACCAACTCTCACTCAATAACTTTCTGTGCCAGTAAATTCTCATCACATTGAATCATGTCCCCTCTTGTTCTGGCCACTTGACCTCTATCCACAGGGGTTCAATAGGAAGGGGACTAAGCTTGTGTGTGAGTGGACAAGGAGGAAGTGAAAGGGCAATCTGGATTGTGGACTCCATGTAATGCTTCACTGGTGGCTATGAAATGCCATTTCTTTAACTGTGTCATAAGGCTTTTAATGGCAGGGACCCATCCATCCTCTCAATAGCTTTGAAGCTGGAATTTTGCAGGGACAGATGCCTGGGGCAGAATTCTTAAGAAGTTTGTAGCAGAGGATAGCTCCTCCCACATGGATCGGCTTCTGCTCCTGTGTGCCATGGCTTCCACATCACTAGAACAGTGCATTAGGTTAGGACTGGCAGTCACCAGCACTGCGGTAGAGCAGTACCTTGGCCATGTGGCGGGACTAGGTGAGGCTGATCTCCGTGACAAGTCAGTGAAGTTCTACAAACTAGGAAATGCCTAGCAGTACGAGAGTACCCATTATCCTGATGGAAGTACAAGAAAGTGTAAGGGCCCTACTTCATGGAATTATGGGAGCAGCGAGGAATTATGTATAATTAGTGGTCCAGGTAACAAGTGCGGATGATGATGATGATTCTTATTATTATTTGTTATGCACTGGCCTTTTTGGCTTGCAGTATTGAGTGTTGTGAGGGCTTGGCTTTAACTGGGCCCATCACATTCCACGCTGTGTCCTTATGGCATATAGAATAATTTAATTCTGCATGTCCCAGTAAGTGGGGAAATTATGCAGCTAGACTGGAGTTTTATCTAGCAGCAAATGCCGTCACAGAGCCAGAAAGGAAACGTGCAGCTTTGCTTAGCATTTGTGGAACACATACGTTTGACTTGGCCCAAGCCCTCTTGGCACCTGCTAAGCTTGCTGACATGACTTACGGGAATATTTTGTTTCGGGAGAACATTTTGCAGCACAGCCTTCTGAGATAGTACAACATAATGCTTTTTACAAGTGGAATCAGAGTTCAACAGAAAGTGTTTCTAGGTATATTGCTGAATTGCACCAGCTCGCACAGCCTGGCAATTTCTCACACTTGATGTTGCGCGATCATTTGACTTGTGGCTTGCATCACGAGAACCTACAGGGATGCTCATTCGCAAAGAAAAAGCTTATCTTTCAAGGTGCACAAGAGGAAGCTTTGGCTTCCGAAGCAACAGTTTTGAGTACAAGGGAAGTGCGGCTGGCAGGAAGTCCACTATGTTCTCAAATTCATAGGACTAGAAGCTCTGATTTGCAGGTGGCAGATGTTCACACGGTGTAGCATAACAGTCCCCAGTCAAAGTGGGACTAGTGGGAAATCAGAGATCCCTGCCAGTGCCAGTTATGCGGTGCAACAGTTGTGGAGGACATCATGAAAGGCATTTTTGTAAATTTAGAGATGGACAATGCTGTTTTTAGGAGCATACTGGGCTAAAGAAAAGCAAGACCTTTCCTGGAAAGCTGCAGAAATGAAGCCCCAGAAGTTCTGTACAACACAGTCTGTACAAGTGTCACATAATGAGGCAGAGGATATTGTTAATCATATTCAACCATGTGCACAAAAGAAATTAACAGTAACTGTTATGATCAAGGGAGTCATGTGCAATGAAAGTGGACTCTGGGTCAGGGTTCTCCATTCTTTTATCAGGGACTTACTGTCAGATGTTTCCACATATGGGCCCAGAGATTGTTCCTTTCCTTATCCAGATTCCTGATTATCAGGGTAATAAGATGAAGGTACAAAGTACGTGGGAGGTTGAAGTGCAGTACCATACATTTAGGGGGACTTTGCAACTACTGGCTGTTCATAGCCAGCATACCAGTCTGCTTGGATTGGACTGGTTTGGGCCTTTGTGGATTACACTCAGGGGTATCCATCATGTTAATATGCCATCTTCTGATGCTTTCGTTGCATTTAAGGTTGTATTTTCTGAAGGACCTGGACAATATAAAGGCCCACCTGTCTCACTGGCCCTTGATCCCACTGTGGTGCCTATTTGGATGAAACCTCACCATGTCCTATTTGTGCTCTGAGAAAAGATTGATGCTGAACTAGATCATCTGTTGGAACAAGACATATTACAGCCAGTGACATGTCCTACTTGGGAGATACCAATTGCCACACCAATGAAAGCCAATGGGGACATTCGTATTTGTGGTGACTATAATAAGTGCACCATAAACAAAGCCTTGTAGAAGCATCCATATCCAATCACAGTAGTGAGTCATCTTTTGGCTTCTCTGTCAGTGGGAAGAGTTTTTGCTAAATTGGACTTGGCACAAGCCTAATGACAGTTGTTGGTAGATGATACCATGGCTGATGCCCAAACCATTACTATTCATCGTGGAGCTTTCAGAGTAAAACAGCTTCAGTCTGGGGTTTGTGGGGCTCCTGGGATTTCCCAGGACCTGAAAGAGGACCTTCTTAAGGGAATCTCTGGTGTGGTACCAGATTTTGATGATGTCCTTATTGCTGATGCATCCACTGGGGAAATTGTAACATGGGTATGTGAAGTGTTGCATTGTTTTGCAGATGCTGGTTTTTGTGTTAAGTGTGAGAAATGTGTATTTGGTGTGCCTCAGATTGAGTTTTTGGGCTATTTTGTTGTTGCAGATGGTATTCATCCTGCTCCAGCTAAAGTTGAAACAATCCATGATGCCCAGTACCGCAGACTAAGCAGGAACGTCAAGCATTCTTGGGACTTTTGAATTTCTAACCTATGTTTTTGCAGCACAAAGCAACAGTAGCAGAGCCGTTGTATCTCTTTTGGATAAGAAGGCCAAGTAGCAGCGGATGGCTCAGCATGGTAGGGTTTTTCGTGATGTAAAAGAGGTTATCCTTTGACTGTGTTTTGGTTCATTATGATGAAAAAATCCATTGATCCTTACATGTTATGCTTCTCTATACAGTATTGGAGCTGTTTTAAGTCATCAACTTGTAGATCCTCATGTGGTCCCCTATTGCATTTTATTCTACAACAATGACTCCAATGGAAAGGAACAATGCAGAAACTGACGAAGAAGTCCAAACTGACAGAGTGAAAAATGTCCATGATCATGCTTATGGCCAGCCATTTATTATAGCTACTGATCATAAACTGTTGCTGGGATCGTTTGCCCCTAATTGTCAGTCACCACAGGTACTGTCACCATGTAAGCTCAGGTGGGCAATTTTTTTGAATGCTTATGATCATACCCAGTTGCATAGGCTGGGCAAGGGTACAGTCTGTGTCGAGTCATCTTCCTCTTCCATTGGCTGAGGAGGATCCTCTGTCCCCTTTGGAAGTCTTGATGTTACAGTCTTTATCAGAACCATCCGTTCAAGGGATTTATATTACAAGTATGTCAACTAAGGACCCAGTTCTTGCTTTTGTTCTTAATTGGGTTCGGAGAGGTGGCCACCAGGGAAGCTTGAGGAAAAATTTGCACCGCACATGATGAGACAACATGAATTATCAGTATGTAAAGTTTGTCTCCTCTGGGGAAATAGAGTTGCCATTCCCACAGTTTTGAGGCATTGTGTGTTAGAGATGTTCCTTGTTGGCCATCCTGCCATTGTGCAGGTGAAGGCTCTGACATGCAGTGGGTTAAGAGGTGCAATGAGGGCCAGGCCTCCAGGCTAGCACCACCAAATGCTCCAGTGCGTCTTTGGGAGTCCACAAAACCTCCATGTCATGGCTTCATTTCGAGTTTGCTACTCCAGTCCAAGTCCAGAGGTTCCTGATAGTGCCTGATTCATACTCCAAATGATTGGAAGTCATCCCTGTCTTAGCAATGGTGTCCCATGTTTTTGCATTGTGTCGACTTTTTGTAACGCATGGATTGCCAGTTGCTATTGTATCCAATAATGGCTCCTAGTTCACATCAGAGGATTTTCACACATTCCTTGCAGATGGTTTAATTCATTGCTTTGCTTCAGTGCCATTTCATCCAGTGATCAATGGGCAGGCCAAGAAAATGGTACGAACAACAAAGGAGGCTTTGAAATGAATTGTTGAGGGCAACTGGGATCGTAGCCTGGCAACTACTGGTTGATGCGACACATCGCACCATGCACTACCGCAGGCAGGAGTCCTGCTAAACTGTTAAGGAACAGGTGCCTGACAGTTCTTCTAGATCGCAAGCTCCCTGATCAAACTGAGAATCGATGAAAGGATGGGGTGGTGTGCAAAGGCCTGCCCATATATTTGCTCCAGATGACCCTGCTTATGTTGGGAATTATGGTTCTGGGTCAGCATGGATTCCTGTTACTGTGACACAAGCTACAGGGCCACTACCGTATTGGCCAGAGACATCAGATGGCCTTGTGTTGCAATGACACATGGACCAAATGAGGGGACATGTACTTGAGTCGTCTGTTCCCTCTGCAAGTGGGAGTGACACAGGAGTCAACAATACCCCAGCAGCAGGAATGGGTGAGACAACTTCTGCTCAGGAATCAGTACAGGAACATGTTGACATGGAGCCTGGGTTTAAAAGTGAGTTAACAGCCACAGAAACTGATGTTAGAGCAGAGATTACACCACCTGCAGTGCAGTTATGGTCATGCACAGTGTAACAGCATTGGACCAAGGTGTCCGAAGCCCTTTGGGGTGATGCATCAGCCCTTTTGGCTTGCCGTATTGAGAGCTTGGCCTTAATTGGACCAATCACATTCCATGTGTGTCCTTTGCCTTCCAGTTTTCTTCCTCGCCTGCATTCACTGCTGGACTGACAATGTTGTTTTATGGAATTACAATTAAACCTGTCGTTTTAATTCTTCATGGATGTCTTATCTTTTGGAGACATAACATTATCAACACCACTACCATTAGACTTCTTTTTTGTAATCTGTTCATGAAGCTTTTTGGCCAGACAACAGGGCAAATGCAGTAAAGAAATATTCCTATCTTCACTGAAATACAATAGAAAAAAACCCTTTCTTAGCCACACAGAGCACTGCAGGTCAAAGAGCCCATTGGAGTATTTGCCTCTGGCTGCACTGCTACATCTTCTCTGTGTTCAGGGCTCCCAGTCAAGCAAGGAAATCACTAGGCAAATACTGGTTCTATGTATGTGTTTCCTTTCCTGGACTAAAGCAAATAACTTCCAAGACCACATGGCAAATCCAGTGCAGAACTGGGACAGTAACCTCATCTCCAGGTGTTTGCCCAGTGGCCCTCCTTGGGCCTTTCCACTGAGGAATGAGACAGGAAATCACCCTTTCTCAGTGTGGGTCCTTAGTCAAACTTGCTGTACAAACTCAAGTGATTCACCTAAATCTGAATTCCCAAAATGAAGTATCAGCCCGAGCCCCTCCTTTCAAGCCACTGGCCCACCATGAGATGCAACAAGAAGAAGTGCTAATGCCTGGATCTCTGAAAAGCAATGCTGCAGATCATCAGCTGGGTGTAGCAGCTTTCCAAGGGATTTAAGCTTAATGTCATTAGTGGTAAAAGGCATGAAGATCCTATCCTTTAAAGGGTTGTTCAGCTGTGCATAGGTAACTTTGGAGCTCGTCCTTCAGTATGTTCTCAGTGACCTCTTGTCTACATAGCACTCATACAGTTTTTGGGTTTTGCTGGTTTGCGTTACAATACTAAATCATTTTCAGGCAGCCAAACTGGCAGCAATCTCCAAACAGGAGAGCAGCTGCTGTTGGTAGAAACTGCATATGGCAACTTTCTATAGACTGAAAGGCTGTTTGTTCTTAACACCTTCACCAGTCATGCACTTGCAAAAGCAAAGTAACCGAATGCAAAAAGATGCTGCAGACCCAGCTATATATCTTCAGGCTGAAAACAAATCTTCAAGTGAGTTTCTACTTGCTGGTAACATGTGATGAATTCAGCCCCCTTTGAGTTCCTGAACTGAAGTGTACTTGAGATTTTACTGCTCAAATGTTAAAATTGTGTACACACAAAAAGAACTGCCACTCTGAGTCAGCCACTCAGAATAGTTGCTAGCCCATTTTATGCAGTCTCTTTCAGCTACAGGGGTTGAGTGCTATGAACATCAGAAGAAGCTTAGAAGAAGCAATTACTGAGTAGTTCACCTATGTTGTTTAATTCCTTTTGGTGCTTGCATTGTGGTTTATGCACTGCAAGCAATGTGAAGCTGCACTAAAACACTAGTTTCTTCCCCCATCAGCATGCCATTCATTCTCAGCCTTGGAGATTCTCAGGGGCCACATCATGATCTTCGTTTTTCAAGATGCTGATTTTCAGGAAGCAGGTCATCTTTGCATTCAGAAAGGGAGGAGTCCTTTGAAGGGCATCCCAAGTCATAAGGGCCCTGATGGATCAGACAGCGTCGTTTCTGCAGTGTCCTGTCAGTCACCTCTGAGAAGGCCACAAGGAACACATGTGGACAATAGGCTCTCCAGCCAATGATATTCAGCTTAGTATCACTGGTGTTTACAATGCCTACTTCTTCTAAGGCAGGTGCTTACTCCCTGCACATCCTGCTTCCTTCCAAAATTGTGCAGGGTGTGTGTTTGCTGACACCACTGAAATGATTCTAGTAATGCCAGCAGTGGCAGCATTTGACTTCCAGTGGATTCGGCTCCTCTGCTCATAAACTGCCCGTCTCTTGTTTAAAGCAGCCAAAGAGTTTTGTGGTGCCTTAAAGACCTATGGCATAATAAGCTTTTGAGGGCTTAAGTCCATTTGGTGCATGAAGTGTTCTCCATTTGCAGAACAGGCAAAAAGAAAAAGTAAGCAGCAGTCCTGGAGGAAAATAGAGTGCAAATGATACAGATTGGGATCATTCTGTTAAAGCTTAAATGCATGTGTGTGCATTCAGAAACAGGATAAGTATACACTGAGCAATCAGAAAACACTGTTGATAATATATACATTAATTTTGTGACTGTCAAATTTGCTGCTGCTAGATGCATCGATAGAGAGCCTTCCCCATGTATGCCTCTTGAAAGCTGCCTATTTAGTGTTAATTGCCCTTGCTTGGAGCAGTTGTTATGATGTCCAAACCCAGACATGGTACATGGCTGGAATGGTCTGGAAACCAACCATCCCAGCTATCCACCCTCACTGGCTTGGCATGACACGATAACCCAGATGCATGACTGGCAAACGAAAATGGGCCGCTACTGTGTATTTTCCCTCCATGAACATGTGAACCAGGGGTGGGAGTTATAGATCAGGGGAAGGATTAAAGCTTTTCTGAAATGCAGTACTCTTCAACGCATCCCTATGGTATTTCTGAGCAGCAAGACAAAGCAAAAGGTGGGGATCCTAATTAATCATTTTGCTTCCTTTAAGTTCGGTAGTCCCTCATCCCAGAGGCCAATATTAAGCACCTCTTGGAAGAGCTGGCATGAAGAACAGGCATGGCTGGGCAACTGCCAAGGGCCTACACCCCAGCAGGGGCCAACTGAGATGATGCCTTGGGGTTACTCCTCCAAGTCATCACTGCAACCTGCTTGTTAACCTGCCTCTCACTCTCATCCTGACAGCAGTGGCGCTCACTGGCTGCCTGTCGGGATGGGAAAGAAGAGGAGGCACAACAGCAGCAGGTGACAGCAGTGGTGCAAATGGGCTTCCCATTCAGGGTGTCTTGCTCAAGCTCCTCCAGTGACACTGCCCTGCAGAATGGAGCCAGGGCCATGCCTATCCTCAACGGATCCCATGCAAGCCTCCTGCCCTTCAGCAAAAGGGGAGCACACAGAGTCCTAATCAAGCAGCAACAAAGAATGGTATGTCATCGTATTGGAAGAGTGGGAGGGCTTCGAACCATCTGCTATAGTGTGACTAGATCACCCCAGCAGACCCTGCTGAGCAGCAACATTTTTTAATTCACCTAACCCAATTTTCTGCTCCTGCTAGGTCTTGGCCTCAGAGGGTGGCATGAATGGGAAGCGGCAGCAACAGGAACCAAGGCAGAGTCTGCTCCCTTTCCAGGCACCTTAGAGAGATGGAAGACCAACCAAAGCATGGGCCCCAGTCCGTCAGGGCAGCATCTGAGGTCTCAAGAGCATGAGGGAACAAGAGGAGGGGTTGGTTCTGGAGGGAGACTGAGGTGGATGTCCTTTGGCCAGCCATTACCTGCTTTCCTCAGCTTCTTGTTCTTGTAGACGGACAGGATCACCAGAAGGTTCCCAAAGATGTCCACAGCAATGGTGATGATGAGCACCACAGCAAGGAGGGTCACCACCCACACGGGATAGAGGCCCTTCCCTGTTCCTAGATGAGAAGACCCGTTCTTTGGCGAAATCCCATCTTCTTCCATTCTCCTTCACTGCTGGGGGCGGCAACGCATTCAGCACCTCTCAGCAACGCAGGGCCAGGCACAGCCATGGACGGGCCCCATTCTCGCTTGCGCGGAAGGGGGACTCTCCTCTCTTCCCAGCTAGCGGAAAGAAAACCGTCCGTCTGCACTGGAAGCCCGACGAGCCTCACCCCCGGGAAAGGCGGTCTGGGGGTTTCAGGACCGGGCCCGCCAAACGACTCGCGAAGCCCTGAAGGAACAGGCGCAAGCGCAGCGCCTCGCCGCTGGAGTTTGCCGGCAAGTTGCTCGCCGCAGGCAGGAGCACGTGGCCCGGAGCGCTCCTCCTGCCGCACCTGGGCGCCGTGCTCAGTCCTTCCCGCGAGGAGGCCGAGTGGCGTCCGCTGCGCGGCGACTGCAGGCTGATCGCGAGGGCGCTGAAGAGGAGGGCGCGGAAAGGGTCGCCCTCCCGGCCGCGCCAGAGCCGAGGGAGAATTGCTCGCGGCTTCTCTGGATCGCCGCTCGAGCGCTCGCCCGCGTTGCTCTGCGCTGCCGCGCTCGGCCGCTCCGGGCGTTTTCCCTGCGGGAGCAGCGAGGTGGGCACGCTGCTACCGGGGCGCGTTCGCCTGGCCGTGGAGGGCGCTTCCCTCCGGCCCCGGCCCGGGACACCGCTCACGGGCTTTCAGCTTCTCCGCAGCAGCAGCCGCAGCAGCAGCGCAGCAGCAGCGCGCCCTCCGGCCGTGTGGGGACGACTTGCCCGCCCTTTCCGCAAAGGCGCCTACGGAGGAGAGGCGGCCAGCGCGTCTCCGCTCCTTTCATTCCCGCGCCGTTCGCTCGCCCCTCTCTCGCCTCTGACGCCGCTTGCCTTCATCAGCACGATCGCCCCGCTTTTTGGCTTTGCCGGATGGGCAGGTTGGAGGCGTGGATCGTTGTCCGACGGGATGATTGGAGAGTTTCCCTTTGGAGATCTTGGGGGAAGGGGTGGCGGCGGAGGTAAGGGCAAGGCAAAGTTTGCTATGCACGTTGGGGAGAGCTCCCCCCCTTCCTCTTTGCCCTATCACCGATTGCTTTTCCGGTCGTCCAGAGGCGCCTGCCTTCACCGGCTCTCTGACCCAAAGGGTTAACGGGGAGGTCTGCATGTGTGTATAGCGGGGAGGAACTCCCGTCCTTTGGCCCTGAAAGTCTGCGACGGTCGAGACGCCGCCTCTTTCCACAGTTCTGCAGCCCCTGTCCCCTCACTTGTTGCTGCGGCTGGCTCGGAGGGTCCAGCTATTAACTCCCTTCATCCTGCGGAGGTGTGGGAAAGAGAGGGCTGCGAAGTCGTTCTGGCACTTCGAATTAATGCAGCGTCTTAGTACGTGTTGTCATAACTGGTGCTACTGTGTGTGTGTGTGTGTGTGTGTGTGTGTGTGTGTGTGTGTGTGTGTTGTAAAGGTGTCACACAGGTGCATGGTAGAGAGTCATTTCAGCTTTTTTGCTACTTGCCATAAAACCAAAGCACAGTTTGTTGCCACTTTTAGATTGCCTGCAGATCAGGAAAAACCCTGTCAACACTTGATTAAGAAAGGGAAGGATTTATCCAATCCAGGTAATCTGCTGGAGACCCCGACTCTTTTCTTTCAACCCCTACCCCGATTTCCTTCTGTGCCTCAGTAAATGTTAGTAGGTGCGGTTTTTCCTTTACATCACTGGAGGACTAATTTTGTCAAAAGAGAAGTACAATTTCAAGCTTCACCACACATTCCCAAATAATTTATTCTACAGTAGAGGCAAAGGCTTCAAATGGTCTTTTTGCAAAAATAAGTCTTACCTGATTGTTAAAAATGATCCCTTAGAAATAAATCTAACTCCAAGTGTCTGACTTCCAAAATAAAATGATAATCCCAACACGGGAACATCTTTCTAAATTCCTAAATTTGAATGGAATTTATTTCCAAATATAAGTGTACCCCAAGCTCTCAGTAGTTAGAAAGTCCTAAGGCAATTCTGTGGCTGTACTTTACAGTGGCCTTTACTGTTCCTGTGATTAGGCATGCATAGGATGGACTTGAGCTTTAAATGCAATTAAAGTTACTGATTTTAATTTGGGGTTCAGTTCTGGGTGCTGATTATTACCTTTAAAGCCCTGCCAGTTAAGGCCAGGTCACTAAAAGGATGGCGTCCTCTTGTTTGAAGTTGCCTGTGACCGAGCTGGAGAGCTGTTTGGGGCATCCCATCTGCAACTGGGGCAAGCTGAGAAAGATGATGTTAGCATGCTTTCTGTGGGACACATGCCCAGGTTGTGGGCCTCCCCTTTTGATGAGATCCTTCTGGTCTTCTTTGTGGGTTGATTCCAGATTTAAATGTAGGGTTATTCCATAAACTGTTGTCACCGAGAGGAAGTGAATAAGCGAGTGACTCTTGCTTCTTTGCATCTAGCTTTCTAAACTGTGCAGGAATGCCCTATTTCTGGGTTGCTTTCATGATGTGCAAATTGGACATCTGGATTAATTAGGGGGTTAAACATCCTAGAGTTTTGTTCCCTGGCTGTGGTCTGCCTGTGCACCTTTCTTTGCCTTTCTCCTTAATTTGTAAATGGATATTAAAAAGTTTCATAAGTGTGTATACATGAACTAAACTTGCAGTGCTCCACAAATTTGCTGCTCTACAGCTGTTGGAATCCAAAAGGTATTGGCCCAATAGATGTTGGACTCTGATTCCCATTAGCTGCAGCTGTGTGGCCAATGGTCAGGGCTGATGGGATCACTGGGATCATGAGACACTTGGAAGGTCCCAATTTCCCTGCCTTGAATAAGGGCAAAAACATTATACATTATCATTTCCCTTTATTTCAGATCATCTTCAATGAAGCCAATTATGTGGCAGTGTAAGGATGACCAGACCACAAATCAGGATTTCTGCTGCAACTGTGGATGGGAATAATAGTAGAGGAGGACTTTCCTACACACACAACTGGGAGGAGATGCGGGATTCCTTTGGCTTGACCTCATTTCTATAATGTTCAACCACAGGGGACAACTTTCATAACTGTGAATGCCTGTGGAGATTGCTTGAGGACTTTCTATATAAAATTCTTCCCATCCTCCATCAATAGGACAGCCATTCAATTCAGTAAAGTTAGAGAAGGTTGCTGGATTTATTGCAGTCAGAAGGGTTCCTCCTTGAAAGAGAAAGACCAAATTGTTTTCCTAAGTGTGTCAACCCATAGACAGGGGTGAAATAGCAACCCGTTGCAGCCCATTTCAGCGGCCAGCTCTTTGATGGAACAAACCTGTTGTGTAAAACACATTTGCAGCCCACCAGGATATGAAGCAAAAAACAGGTGTGAGGTGTTACTTCCAACAACTGTGATTTTCTTCGACAAAGCCATTCCCTTAAAAAGGACCCTCTCGCCTTCAGTCTAGCACTCAGCATCCTCATGCCAGTTTGTGTCTGACTCATCCAGGTTTGGCACCAGTTCAGCATCATTTCTGACCCTTCTTCCCTCCATTGTCTCTTGAGGAGGGGGAAAAAAACCATTTGGAAGAATCCCTGGAGAGATTTCCAGCACTGGACAGCTCTGCCAGATTATAGCATTCCTGTCCCTCAGCCTCATTGTTCTCGGTTTTTGCTCCAAGCCAGGGGCGACCCAAAGATCCCAAGATGAAGGTGAAGGTTGCGCCCCCTCAGTTCCTTGTGCAGAAGCTGACTGGACTGGCAGCTGAATCTGTCGTCAACATGGCTAGTGGCACAGCATCCTGTAGCAGTCGGAAAGACAGCAGGGCAGGCCTTTTGGCCCACTGTTCACCTCAGACTCCTTGCCACTGCCTCCCAGCTTCTGCTGCCTGACGTGAATGACAGGGCTGGCCCATGTAGGGGGCATGGGGAGCACAAAACTGCACGAAAGCGATTTGACTGATTTTGGGGTTCTTACATAAAATGTAATCCACTTTAACTGGATTGTCAGTAATGCCAGCCAGAAGATGTTGACATGCTAATGTCTGAAATGTGGCATGTAAGTGTTGCATTTCCTTGTTGTATATGCATGGCAGTAAAAATGCATTATGCGTAACACATTTGAGGAAGCACCCATATGCAAGGATTACTTCCAGGTTGGAAAAATGGTAACATGGAAAACATGAGATACCCTGAAACATGAGATTTAGTCTTCATAGGACTAGAGGAGGTGGAAATGTTTGTAGCCATAGGAAGGTTGCTCACTTATTGCTACATAATAGAAAAGCTACTCACATTCTTGTGTGGTATCTGATGCGGCATTGTGGCCTGAAATCAGTGATGCAGCCACCAGCTGGCTTCCTAAGCTATGGCACAGTATAATAGAGTAGCTGTGCCAATACAAATGATCCAGGTGCGCCAGTAGGCTGGATTCATCTGTTGATGTAAAGCAGGCAAGGAGGCACTCAGATCTGGTCCCATCCGATTTTATGTCTGATGAATTCCCCATAATTACAGGCCAGTCAGGACCATTGCCTGTATGATGAGCCAAATCTCAAGTCAAGGGTGCTGACTGACCTTTAATGCTGTTTGAAGGCTAAGCAAAACATCACCATTACCTCCCCTTCTCTGTTGTGTGCTGGTTATCAAAAAGCCCGTATTCAATCACAAATAAAACATTAAAAAAGTATCTTTTATTGCTTTTGATAGACAAATGTCCATAATAAACTCTCACAGAGAAATGTTCATATAACTAAGGTCGTATAGTGCAGGCCAGCCTTGTATTAAATAATCTGCTCCATCCCATTTTGGCTCTATTTTCCAAGGGTTTGTCCACAAACAAAATCTCTCATACACAATCTCACATGCACAACCTTGCACAAATGTATGCATAAGACCTGTAGTTAAGATGCTGTGACAGGGATGATGTAGGCAGAGTCAGCACGTTCTAATTTCTCATTATTTCCTAGAGCAGGCATAGGGAGGTGCTTCTTAACTATGGTGACTGATTAATTATGGGAATTGCAGAAAGATTGCTTGGGTCTATCAACCACGATGTGCGAGTGCCTTGATTTGATTAGTATGTTGTTCTGAATAGAAAAGATGCCTCTTACAGGAAATGGTCAGTGCATGTGGCATACAGTAGCACCCTGCTTTCATACGCTTCCATGTTCTACCTTTCACATGCTTTACGGTCAGTTGCCATCCACTGTTAGAGACCTGCTACCGTCTGTGGCATAAGAAGAGGCAGCATTTTCTGCTTAGCATCTCTTTCCCCCCATTACCTTTGCTTAGGTACTGTTTCCTGACTGTCAGAGCAGTATGGCAGTGCAACCCATTACCTAGGAAGGTTGTGGGCTCTCCTACACTTAGAGGCATTCAATATACAGCTGGGAGAACATGAATGGGACGGTGCAAGTCAGTGCCCTGCACTAGCAGGCAGCTGGACCTGATGGCCTTCTGGCCCCTTCCAACTCTATTCGGCGATTCATTCTAATACCGGGAAGTAGACAAGCCCATGAACACAAGCGAGGCTAGAATGGCCCTCTGTATAACAAGTGTGAGGACACAGAACTGCAAGGCAGCCTGTCCTCAACCTCCCTGCACAGCTCTTTTTGGGGTGCTTTTGCTCCAAGGAAAACTGCCGATTCTAAACCAAAGGCACACCTTCTGACCGCTGCTCTGCAATGCTTTTATTTCCCCGTATTTCTCAGGAAATAACCCACACAACGCTAATTTCTGCTGTCTTGGCAACTGACTGCCACAAAGGTCTGCTTGTTCCCTCTTCACAAGTCCTATTTTTTGTGAGGCCTCTTGGCCAGACACATTCATGCAAGGGATGGGGAGTGGGCGCTGCAGTTCTCTGTCCACATGTAAAGGAATCACTTATTCCTGAGAAGGCGTTGCTGTCACCACTCAGTGGGATTTCCTTTATGTGTTTAGCTATGCAGTTCTCTGTAGTTCTCCAAGGCAACAAGGCCCATGTGGAATCCAACCCCAGCAGAGGTGGGTGACCAGGGCCGTAGGCAGAAACACCAGTAACTACATGTGGAGATGTCACAGTTAAGAATGCAACGAAGTTGTACATTCCAGGAAAGGAATACTCCAAGAAGAGTTCCTCTCCTTCCAAGACTTCATGCCAGATGCAATCTGATATGCAGCACGCTGCATTTCAACCAAGCACCCCTGCTAGAACATCACCTCTTCACAGCTCCCATAGTCACTCTCCACCATGTCGGAGCCCTCATAGTGAGGAGGCGGGTCTGCCTGAGTCCTGGCAGTGGAGGCAGGCCTCACCTCGCAGTCTGCATAGGAGGGCTGGGCCACGCTGAGTCGCATGCTCACCCTCTTGAACCCACTGTCGGCATGGTAAGGGAGCCCCTCATTTTCTACCAGCTGGGAAGGGTAGTAGCTAATGGCAGTGTATTCGTTTTGACACTGGGAAGCAGGCAGCTCAGCAGGACCAGGGGGCAAAAAGTCTTCCAGATTCTGGTTGCTGTAGCGGGCTGGGATTGGGGCCCGCTTGTTGCTTTGGTCGAGCGGGAAAGGAAAGCCACCGTAAAGGCCAGTCGAACTGGAGTCCACAGACGGAGGAGATGGATGGCACGGCGAAGGAGGGCGGGGGCCTTCGATAACTTCATACTGGTGGTACTCTTGGATATCTGGTGGCTGGTATCTCGGTGGCCAGTAGGTCATTTCTCCTGGGTACACTGAAATAACATCAGAAGCAGATTAATATTTCTCAGTGAAAGTGCAATTGGAATGCTGTATCTGCTATTTTTCTGTGTTTATGAAATATTGTTACCCCCTGAGAGCGATTGCCTCCAAAAAGGTGATGCATAGATTTATTTGATTTCTAACCCACCCCATTAGCCGCATGGCTCCCCTTAAGCTGCTGCCCTTGGCACACTTACTAGGGAATAAGTTCCACTGAACTCGGCTGGGCTAATTTCTGAGTAGACTTACCTAGGACTGCCTACTCTAAGGCAATGGATCCATCCACCCCATAGCTGAATCTGGGCATCAAATCCCCTTGGAATTAATTAGCATCACATGAGGACAACCTGGCAAGCCTCTCCGGAGCATTGGGTCCTCAGGGGCAAGAGCTGCCCTCCGTGCACTGGGAATGGGAGATGGAGGCCTGCTGCAGGACACCTGCTTCACTCAGGCAGGGTCCAAGGACAGTGCAGACCCCCAGCTGAATGGGGTTCCAAATGGAGCGCAAGTACAGCAGGATGCCCACCGCAATCCTTCACCTTCCAGCATGGGAAGGGGCCTGGTGGGGCGGGGGGCAGGACAGGGAGCCCTTCTCATGCCATGCCAGTCATGCCTGAACAGGAGGAATGTGTTCTAATAAACAGATACATAAATGATGTGATGCACGTGACATATTCCAGACCACAATCAGTGACCAGTAATCACATGTGTAGTTTATGAATTCTATTTTAAGAAAATAATAAACAGGTTTTTAAAATGAAGGGAAGTCTGTGGTTGTAAGTTACCCATTCCAGCTGTTAGGGATGTGAAGTATATTAAAAGAGGGCCTATTTTGAAAAGTTGTGTCCAAATTTTGGGCTCCTAAGGAAAGGCCCAAAGATCCAAAATGCATAATATCAAGGCTAAGATTGTTTGTACGGTCCTGGTACCACTGACAGATCTTGCAAGGTCCCAGTTGTCGGACAGCAAAGGGTGGGCATGGTGTGCCCAATCTGTGTTGAAAATAAGGGACAGAAAGCAACTGAGGATGCTATCCAGAAATTGGAGGGTTCCTTTGACACTGGTGAAACTGGAAGACCTCTGAAAAGATGTAAGGGGCTCCTATTCACCATAATGGCTAGATCCAGGTCCCTTCATATGAGGGAAAACGATGCTGGAAGGCCATTTTCGGTCAAGATCACTGTGCTGGCTGTTGAGCGGAACCTCGAGAGCAGGAGGATTAAGGCGGTAACAGGCCAGTTCACATGATCAGACTGTGGTGCTGGCGGCCAGCCATTTGGCATAGCTAAATAGTGCTCACACAGCCCTAACACAGGTCACGTGGTGATCGTGTGAACCTGGCCGATGCTGATGGATGAACTGAAACATGATATCAATACGAAGGATGAAATGAAACAACTCATGATATTTATTAATGCCACTTGACGGGTTGTTCACACACAGCCTCTCAGTCTGTTCCTCACAGGTTTTGACTCACTTTATAATCAGTATTGTAGCACACACTAACTCATCACTGAAGCTGATGCTTTGTGCTTAAACCTGGTTTTTGAAAATCTGATTGTTTATATATGCATTCTTTTGACATTTATGAACTGGAAGAGGGATTGCTGGCTGTTTGTTGTGGTTTGGATTAATACCTTCTGTCTTTAATTGGATGGTTGTAAGATGCTAGGCGATTAATGCAGGAGTGCAGAGAACCATAATCCATGAAGGATGTATGAGAAATCTCCATGACACGCCTCCCTTCTGCATCTGTTGTTTCATACAGGCATGGCGGTCAGCTCTCTCTTACCATCCAGGTTAATTCTAGCTCAGGAAATCCCTGTCATGCCTGGGCGATGATAACTCGCTCATCCTGAAGAACCTGCTAGTGCCAAAGTTATTATTTTAGGGCTGTAATGCTGTTCTCCGGAATACTGAACAGTTCAGAAGCTGCATGATGCGGGATTTGAGACATCACTGCACAAAGTTTTCCGTTTGAATAACAGTCAGTAGGGGATGGCAT